ACAACGCTTTCTAAACATATATGGGATATAAAAAATAAGAAACAAATCACGCCCAAAATATTATGGAAAATAAAGAAAAAACTATCAGCCTATACCAATAAATTAGGTATAATTACCTTCCCAGAGCAGCACAAACTACTAAATAAACACTCAGAACACATCCCATAACGGCAACACGAAAACAAATTTATACTACGTTACTTAAAATTCGAAAATTAAAAACGGTCACGAATAAAATATATATTATAGAATATAATAATCAATAATAAATTTTAAAAAAATAAAATTTTTAAAAAGTTGACAAGCAACACTACGGATCCAAAATTTGCAACCAATAAACGCTAGAATAATCTTAAATCTAACCCCTATCGGCCATCAAATCAACAGATAGAAAAATACAAGAGTACCCACAATACATCACTGACCTGTATATGTAAATAGTCGAGCAAAAACGCAACATATATGGCCTGACAATTACGTATAAGCATGAAACAGACTGTCACCGCTAGAACAGTCTACCCCAGTGAGCGAAATAAAGGGTTCAGTTCGACATTCCAACCATCTGAAGAAGGCCGGAGCATACAACAGCCAAAACATTGTGATAAATATGGCGACAAATATGAGGACACTAGTCCGAATAATGTAAATAGTGTACATAATACCTCATCTCCGAAATATAGACAGATACTGAAGGGCTGAAACGTTGTAATAAATATGGCGACAAAGATGAGAACAATAGTCCGAATAATTTAAATAGTGTACATAATACCTCATCTCAGAAATATAGACAGATACTGAAGGGCCGAAACGCTGTAATAAATATGGCGACAAAGATGAGGACAATAGTCCAAATAATGTAAATAGTGTACGTAATACCTCATCTCAGAAATTACAGACAGACAATTGTAATGTTTTCTTTATTTTAAATTTAATACAAACAGCCTTTAAAAATGAATATCGACTTGATTCTATAACATTCTATGTGAGCATCATGTACCGTGATAACACATCCGTTATGCTAACACCAGGAAACGTTCTTGTGAGGCGACATGTCAGACAATCGAAGTACGATCTTATTGTGGAGGAGGCGGAACTCATAGAAGCCAGTCCACGCTATGCGCACATCCGTCTTCAAAACGGCAAAGAAACCAAAGTATCACTCCGAGATCTCGTCCCTGCTGGTCTCGTTCAGAACTGTTCTCTGACTTACCCCTCCCAAAACTTTGACACCTTAGACCTCAACAAAACTGAATCTAGTACAGATACACCAGATAATGGAATCGAAATTCCTTTACGTCGATCAGAGCAATTGCGTAGACCTCCCAACTGCTTAATTTATGAGTTAATCTTTTGCTGATATCCTTAAATCGAATAAGATTATAAAAGAGATACTTAAAAATTGAAATAAATCATGCTAGGATATAATCTTTCCTTAATATTGATTGACTAACTTCCACTAATTATTTCTAGAAGCAGAGGAGATTATGGCAAACATTTCTTCTCTGCCCCACCCTGCCTATCGTCAAAATGGACGGATGAAGACGGTTGAACTTGACGCAGTGTAAAAACTCTTCAAAATTTCTGCATATCCGAGCGCTTTCAGTTATTCATTTAGCCATTATCAAGGACGATGTTTATTTTCTATTTTTAACCGAATGTATGGATCATTTTATCTATGTCTCTGAAGTTATAAAAGGAATGTTTTATTTTCCAAACACGGCCAGCACGAAGTGGCCGTATTCATAGTTATTGCTCCTGGAGAATTTTTTCACACTTTGTGTCCAAAAAAGAAAACACCTACGCGAACACAAGAAAAAATAAATAAAAAGCTTAATGGCAGTACCTTGCCTGTCGTTTTTAACCCTTGGAGTCCTGCGTTCCTGAACAATTTTAACCCTTCTGCCTGAGCCCGTGTGTCAAAATTCGCAAATAATTGGTATGTAATGTTTCACGGTAGATATAAAAATAGTTGCAAGTGTTTACCCACCGTTCAACTGGTGGCTGGGCATTAAGTCATTTTTTTCTAACACTGTGTTATGGAGTGGTTTCACAGTGGAGGCTTGTATTTGTACTAAGTCGGTCCTAAAATAGGTTCGACGTGCAAAACGTTAGGAACTTGATATAATAGGTAATGACGCAGAGAAATCTAGTTGTGGTCGCTGATACTTTAGTATTCGACTAACGGTCGTCCGGCATCGACTGACTGAGCCACTGAGCGACTCCCTCTACTTACTACTATTTATTATAGGTGGGAGAGTCTATTAACTATAGAATAGGTGTGTTCCACTATAACACACTGTTAAACCGGTAGCTTTGCATTACGCCATTTTTCTTTATCATCGGTAAAGCGGTGGTCAGGGTTCAAAACGTTAACGAAATATAGGGTGTATTGGGTCATCAGTTGTTCATTTATGCAGGTTTGTTTGAAGACAAACGTAAGTTTGCTTGTTTTTTCAGATTTCTTTTATTTAACACCGTGATGACACCGTTTTGATGGCCGACTCAAAATGAAAACTACAGGAGGTCTTAAACAGAATAAGAGAAGAAAGCGAGAACAAAGGACTAACTATCTGTTGCACGAAGACAAAAAGTCTGGTCATCAGCAAGAGAAAAAGCCTAAGATTCGTGTTATGAATTGGAGATATAATTATTTTATATGGAAATCGTTTTAATAAAGGATGGAAAATGTGACATCGAGACTCGAACACGCTTTGAACTAGCGAAGGATGCCTCCCAAAAGCTAAACAAGAACACGCTTTGAACTAGCGAAGGATGCCTCCCAAAAGCTAAACAAGAACACGCTTTGAACTAGCGAAGGATGCCTTCCAAAAGCTAAACAAGAACACGCTTTGAACTAGCGAAAGATGCCTTCCAAAAGCTAAGCAAGAACACGCTTTGAACTAGCGAAAGATGCCTTCCAAAAGCTAAGCAAGAACACGCGTGGAACTAGCGAAAGATGCCTTCAAAAGCTAAGGTAAAACACGCTTTGAACTAGTGAAATGTAAATTCAAAAACAAAGTCAGAACACGCGTGGAACTAGCGAAAGTTGCCTTCAAAAGCTAAGCCAGAGCCCGCTTTGAACTAGCGAAAGATGCCTTCAAAAGATAAGCTAGAACACGTTTTGAACTAGCGAAAGATGCCTTCCAAAAGCTAAGCAAGAACACATTTTGAACTAGCGAAAGATGCCTTCAAAAGCTAAGCAAGAACACGCGTGGAACTAGCGAAAGATGCCTTCCAAAAGCTAAGCAAGAACACATTTTGAACTAGCGAAAGATGTCTTCCAAAAGCTAAGCAAGAACACGTTTTGAACTAGCGAAAGATGCCTTCCAAAAGCTAAGCAAGAACACGCGTGCAACTAGCGAAAGATGCCTTCCAAAAGCTAAGGTAAAACACGCTTTGAACTAGTGAAATGTAAATTCCAAAAGCAAAGTCAGAACACGCGTGGAACTAGCGAAAGTTGCCTTCCAAAGCTAAGCCAGAGCCCGCTTTGAACTAGCGAAAGATGCCTTCCAAAAGATAAGCTAGAACACGTTTTGAACTAGCGAAAGATGCCTTCCAAAAGCTAAGCAAGAACACATTTTGAACTAGCGAAAGATGTCTTCCAAAAGCTAAGCAAGAACACGCGTGGAACTAGCGAAAGATGCCTTCCAAAAGCTAAGCAAGAACACGCGTGGAACTAGCGAAAGATGCCTTCCAAAAGCTAAGCAAGAACACATTTTGAACTAGCGAAAGATGCCTTCCAAAAGCTAAGCAAGAACACGCGTAGAACTAGCGAAAGATGCCTTCCAAAAGCTAAGCAAGAACACATTTTGAACTAGCGAAAGATGTCTTCCAAAAGCTAAGCAAGAACACGTTTTGAACTAGCGAAAGATGCCTTCCAAAAGCTAAGCAAGAACACGCGTGGAACTAGCGAAAGATGCCTTCAAAAGCTAAGCAAGAACACGCTTTGAAACTGCTGAGGCACACGATATAGGAAGTTGTAGAGAGCCATGATCGTCTATGTCCTAATCAAGGTAATAAAAGAAAACGACAAAAAAAGGACTATCAACTGCACGAAGACAAAATGTTTGGTCATCAACGAGAGATAAAGCTTAAGATGCGGGTTACGAATTGGAGATATAAACATTAAGCGGGTGCAAAAGTCGAAATATATGGAGGATGAAAAATGCGGCACCGAGATCCGAGGTATACATTGGACGAGCGAAAGAAGCATTGCAAGGTGTTGAAAAACGTCAAAAAATTGCTAGGAGCAAAGAAAAGAGTGCTGGATTGCTATGTGATGTCCAGCCTCTCGTATGGCAGTGAATGTTGAAAAATCTCTATACAGTCGAAGAAAAAGTAGAGGCAGTAGAAATGTGGTTCTACAGAAGGATACTGAGAATTCCGTGGACAGAGAGAGTAAGCAACAAGGAAGTCTTAAAGAAATAGAAAGAAACCTTAAACTAAAAATCAGGAAAATACAGCTGAAATTCCTTGGACGCATGATGAGGAAAGAGAACTTGGAAAACTTAACCCTCACGAGGCATATTAACGGTAAAACAGACAGGGGGGCAGCTTATTGACGAGCTTGTGTCAATGGATGTCGGAACCAAGGGAAAGAGTCTTAGTAAAGGGAGAAAACTAAGAGCCTCAAGTGATAGAAAGCTATGGAGAGCCATGATCGCCCAGGAAAAGACGTGGCACAGAGAAGAAGATTTCTCAAGTCTACGAACTAGTTGTTGGTTGGTAGTTTTTGTTTAGCGGCATATCAACACCTCTATGGGTTATTTAATGCCAAAATGTAAATGTTTTGTGCGCAAATTTTATTTTTATTTGTGGAAATAATAATGATTTAATTATACAAGTCTTACTAATTAACCCATAGTTGGGGGGGAGAAAGGTGAATCTATACCGTTCCAAAGGGTATTTGCGCGTAAATGAATATAACGAACCCAACTGGAATTGGAACTCGGATCTCCGATTAACAATTCCGAGCCAATTACACCACCCGCACATCCAAGCTTACAGCACCTGGTATTTCTAAGTGGTCACTCATCTATGTACTGACTAGGCTCGAAGTTGCTTAACTTTGGTGATCGTATGGGAACCAATGTTTCAACATGATGTCGCCGTAAGCCCACTGTTGTCGCTATTTCTTATTGATGGGAATTGCCTTCCAAATCTTTTGTTTTTAGTAGTGTGGAAAGCTAACAGTCTGGTTATAGTATTATTTTCTCTTGTAGTTATATATGAAAGCTGCTTTTTTTTTAAATATTCAAATGACGTGTTGTTGTTTTTCTTTATTTGTGATTATGTAGCGCCAAATTGAGATGAAAAATGAAGAATCGATTATTTATGGCCTTGAGCCAAACTTCGCTAAGCTTAGTAAATATGGACACAGCATTGCATTACGACGTTTATGGTATGATATCCGAGTACTCGCAAGGCTTCGCGACATCAACAACAAGCATTTAAGCAACCACCTTTCCTGCCACGTACCTTGTCCGCCCGACGCTTCGTTCCATAATTTCACCGTTATAAGCCTGGGCGATAAAAACCACCACCCCCACAGCGGCGGCGGCGTAAGTGAGGTGGGAGGCTGGCCAGCAGCAACAATGGCCGTCGACATCCGAAAGTTACGCCAGCGACACCAATTCCTTGTTGTGGAATGTCAAGCATGCACGACTTTTTTTCCTTCTCCACACCATTTCAATTTTGGCGAAACCTTTTCCTCCACCTTGCCCTCTCGCTTTCCCCCCGACACTCCTGCACTAAACTCCCCTTCTCTCTCCAACACACCCGGCCATGCCTAAGTCGCCATCACTATGGCAACCGGGGCTTGTATGCTAGAACGTTACTGGGCTTCCTTTTTGTTTTTCTCTTTTTCATCTCAGGATAGAATAAAAATGCAACAACCGGCAAGGAAAAGTTATTAATTTAGGGTCGGTGTGGAAACCCACAAACCTGTAGCAAAATAGACCCACAAGTTCTTGCTAATGGTACCCAAAATTCTTTTTTCTCAAGGCAGCATTTTCGAAATTAAAATTTGTTCACGCCTTACCAAATTTTATGTGATAAAAAAGTACCTTTAAAAATAAAAATAATAATAATAAAAAAAACATAGAGAGGGTTACAGAGAGTTAACGCCGGGTTCGAAATCAGAACATTATCATTGATAACTCTCTCATCCAATTTGCGGGTCCTAGTTAATATATTCTTAATATTTGATATAATGAAAAAATATCAGTGATAAAATCAGTTAATAATTATTTATAACTATTTAAAATGAGACTCATGCATGCAATTACAAGTAATCCATAATAATATTTAATAATTTTGAAATCATATTTATTTTTTGGCATATTAATTTTTTTTAAACTGTTTATAAATCTTTGTCTTTCAATCAGTCCGCCTCACCGGCCAACCTCTCCCGCCTCACCTGCTATCCACTTCCGCCTCACCTGTTATCCTCTTCTGCCTCAACCGCTATCCTCTTCCGCATCACCTGCTACCCACTTCCGCCTTACCAGCTATCCTCTTCCGCATCACCTGCTATCCTCTTCCGCATCACCTGCTATCCTCTTCCGTCTCACCTGCTATCCTCTTCTGCATCACCTGCTATCTTCTTCCGTCTCACCTGCTATCCTCTTCTGCATCACCTGCTTCTCTTCTTCCGTCTCACCTGCTATCCTCTTCTGCCTCACCTGCTATCTTCTTCCGTCTCACCTGCTATCCTCTTCTGCATCACCTGCTATCTTCTTCCGTCTCACCTGCTATCCTCTTCTGCATCACCTGCTATCTTCTTCAGTCTCACCTGCTATCCTCTTCTGCCTCACCTGCTATCTTCTTCAGTCTCACCTGCTATCCTCTTCTGCCTCACCTGCTATCCTCTTCCGTCTCACCTGCTATCCTCTTCTGCATCTATCCTCTTCTGCACTGCTATCTTCTTCCGTCTCACCTGCTATCCTCTTCTGCATCACCTGCTATCTTCTTCAGTCTCACCTGCTATCCTCTTCTGCCTCACCTGCTATCTTCTTCCGTCTCACCTGCTATCCTCTTCTGCCTCACCTGCTATCTTCTTCCGTCTCACCTGCTATCCTCTTCTGCCTCACCTGCTATCTTCTTCCCGTCTCACCTGCTATCCTCTTCTGCCTCACCTGCTATCTTCTTCCGTCTCACCTGCTATCCTCTTCTGCATCACCTGCTATCGTCTTCCGTCTCACCTGCTATCCTCTTCTGCATCACCTGCTATCTTCTTCCGTCTCACCTGCTATCCTCTTCTGCCTCACCTGCTATCTTCTTCCCGTCTCACCTTCTATCTCTTCTGCCTCACCTGCTATCTTCTTCAGTCTCACCTGCTATCCTCTTCTGCATCACCTGCTATCTTCTTCCGTCTCACCTGCTATCCTCTTCTGCCTCACCTGCTATCTTCTTCCGTCTCACCTGCTATCCTCTTCTGCATCACCTTCTGCTCATCTTCTTCTTCGTCTCACCTGCTATCCTCTTCTGCCTCCCTGCTATCTTCTTCCGTCTCACCTGCTATCCTCTTCTGCATCACCTGCTATCTTCTTCCGTCTCACCTTCTATCCTCTTCTGCCTCACCTGCTATCTTCTTCCGTCTCTTCTGCCTGCTATCCTCTTCTGCATCACCTGCTATCGTCTTCCGTCTCACCTGCTATCCTCTTCTGCATCACCTGCTATCTTCTTCCGTCTCACCTGCTATCACCTCCTCTTCTGCCTCACCTGCTATCCTCTTCCGTCCGTCCTCCTCTTCTGCCCCACCTCTTCTATCCTCTTCTGCCTCACCTGCTATCTTCTTCAGTCTCACCTGCTATCCTCTTCTGCCTCACCTGCTATCTTCTTCCGTCTCACCTGCTCCTCCTCTGCCTCACCTGCTATCTTCTTCCGTCTCACCTGCTATCCTCTTCTGCATCACCTGCTATCTTCTTCAGTCTCACCTGCTATCCTCTTCTGCCTCACCTGCTATCTTCTTCAGTCTCACCTGCTATCCTCTTCTGCCTCACCTGCTATCTTCTTCCGTCTCACCTGCTATCCTCTTCTGCCTCACCTGCTATCTTCTTCAGTCTCACCTGCTATCCTCTTCTGCATCACCTGCTATCGTCTTCCGTCTCACCTTCTATCCTCTTCTGCCTCACCTGCTATCTTCTTCAGTCTCACCTGCTATCCTCTTCTGCCTCACCTGCTATCTTCTTCCGTCTCACCTGCTATCCTCTTCTGCCTCACCTGCTATCTTCTTCTATCTCACCTTCTATCCTCTTCTGCCTCACCTGCTATCTTCTTCAGTCTCACCTGCTATCCTCTTCTGCCTCACCTGCTATCTTCTTCCGTCTCACCTGCTATCCTCTTCTGCCTCACCTGCTATCTTCTTCCGTCTCACCTTCTATCCTCTTCTGCCTCACCTGCTATCTTCTTCAGTCTCACCTGCTATCCTCTTCTGCCTCACCTGCTATCTTCTTCCGTCTCACCTGCTATCCTCTTCTGCCTCACCTGCTATCTTCTTCCGTCTCACCTGCTATCCTCTTCTGCATCACCTGCTATCGTCTTCCGTCTCACCTGCTATCCTCTTCTGCATCACCTGCTATCTTCTTCCGTCTCACCTGCTATCCTCTTCTGCATCACCTGCTATCGTCTTCCGTCTCACCTGCTATCCTCTTCTGCATCACCTGCTATCTTCTTCCGTCTCACCTGCTATCCTCTTCTGCATCACCTGCTATCCTCTTCAGTCTCACCTGCTATCCTCTTCTGCATCCCCTGCTATCTTCTTCCGTCTCACCTGCTATCCTCTTCTGCATCACCTGCTATCCTCTTCAGTCTCTGCTATCCTCTTCTGCATCACCTGCTATCTTCTTCCGTCTCACCTGCTATCCTCTTCTGCCTCACCTGCTATCCTCTTCCGTCTCACCTGCTATCCTCTTCTGCATCACCTGCTATCGTCTTCCGTCTCACCTGCTATCCTCTTCTGCATCACCTGCTATCTTCTTCCGTCTCACCTGCTATCCTCTTCTGCATCACCTGCTATCCTCTTCAGTCTCACCTGCTATCCTCTTCTGCATCCCCTGCTATCTTCTTCAGTCTCACCTGCTATCCTCTTCTGCATCACCTGCTATCTTCTTCCGTCTCACCTGCTATCCTCTTCTGCATCACCTGCTATCGTCTTCCGTCTCACCTGCTATCCTCTTCTGCATCACCTGCTATCTTCTTCCGTCTCACCTGCTATCCTCTTCTGCATCACCTGCTATCCTCTTCAGTCTCACCTGCTATCCTCTTCTGCATCACCTGCTATCTTCTTCCGTCTCACCTGCTATCCTCCTCTTCTCCTTCCTCACCTGCTATCTTCTTCCGTCTCTGCCTCTTCACCCTGCTATCCTATCCTCTTCTGCATCACCTGCTATCGTCTTCCGTCTCACCTGCTATCCTCTTCTGCATCACCTGCTATCTTCTTCCGTCTCACCTGCTATCCTCTTCTGCATCACCTGCTATCCTCTTCAGTCTCACCTGCTATCCTCTTCTGCATCCCCCTCTCTCTATCTTCTTCCGTCTCACCTGCTATCCTCTTCTGCATCACCTGCTATCCTCTTCAGTCTCACCTGCTATCCTCTTCTGCATCCCCTGCTATCTTCTTCCGTCTCACCTGCTATCCTCTTCTGCATCACCTGCTATCCTCTTCAGTCTCACCTGCTATCCTCTTCTGCATCACCTGCTATCGTCTTCCGTCTCACCTGCTATCCTCTTCTGCATCACCTGCTATCTTCTTCCGTCTCACCTGCTATCCTCTTCTGCATCACCTGCTATCGTCTTCCGTCTCACCTGCTATCCTCTTCTGCATCACCTGCTATCTTCTTCCGTCTCACCTGCTATCCTCTTCTGCATCACCTGCTATCCTCTTCCGTCTCACCTGCTATCCTCTTCTGCATCCCCTTCTGTCTCTATCTTCTTCCCGTCTCACCTGCTATCCTCTTCTGCATCACCTGCTATCCTCTTCAGTCTCACCTGCTATCCTCTTCTGCATCACCTGCTATCGTCTTCCGTCTCACCTGCTATCCTCTTCTGCATCACCTGCTATCTTCTTCCGTCTCACCTGCTATCCTCTTCTGCATCACCTGCTATCGTCTTC